TCTGTGTACACAGACCTGGACAAACCTGTATTCAACTCCCTTGCTTTGCTGCTTATTTAGCGCTAGGATAGCTCCCTTGCTTCTCAGCCTCACTGACGGCCTATTTTATTGACGAAAATATTTTTCTGATACCCTTACATTTTCACTTCTTATTTTTCAAACTTAGCTTTTCCTACCTGAAGGAAAATGGACTGGTTATGTTTAACAGGCACTATAATCAAAAGTTTGCTATATGATTTTATTAGATATTAGTAGCTAACGTACATAGGAATCTCGTCCACAATTTGTTTTTCTCACACACTATCCAAACAAAGTTTTAGTTTCAAAGAGGAAAAAACTCTTCTGTTTTACCGGGGAGAAGCTTACACAAGAATGCCTTTGAGAGTCTGTCTTGATTGTATCCATTTTAAAGAAGGAAATCTGCCTTTGTATATGTTTGCAGAGCAGTTGGGACAATGAAGACCCAGTCTTGACTGGGGCCTCTGGACCCTATTGTGATATAAATATTCATTGAAAATAATAATGAAACTTACTGTGAAGAAAAGGGGCCGTGTAGCAGCTCATATTTATACTGTTGTAACTGTCAGTTTCAGAAGATAAATCCAACACAAAGCTCGTACGCTACCTTACAGTGACATTCCTTTGCAGTCTCTTTCTCCTTTAGGACCTTGGAATTTCTTCCTTGGTAATAGGTTTTTCTTTTACATTGCCTTTTGTTACCATTATCTGTGAAAGAGTTGATACTGTTCTCTCTAAAGTCTCTATGCACATTCTATTTCTGAGTGGTATATTACTTAAGTTTTTTTCAGTAACAATTTCCCTTTGGATACAAAACTTTATCTAGGTCTTCCATGTATCAGTAACCTGAGAACTTGGAAACCACAGATTTTATAGCTCAGATTTGACCTATCTAATACATGACAATGTGTAGCTTTGATCGAGGATTCAATACAATTCTCCCAAGCAATTCACAGCTACAAGTATTTTCCCCATGCAAAATCTTTGCATTAAAAAATGTGTTCCAGGTACACATATTGAATGCAATGAAAAGAATGCAAGAAATGAAACAGATCTCCTGATGGTAGCAGGCAATGTTAGATAACTTCTGATTTCCACTGTTAAGTAACTTTTCCAAACCTTAAACTTACTCTAAAATCTGTGAGAAAAAGACAGATTTCAAGTGGAAAAATATCAACAGCTGTTATCTAGGTAAAATGTTCTCAGAAAAATTTTTGCAAGCCAATTAAATGTGTATATATACACCCATACACTTCATTTTTGGCATACATACTTCACAAGGAAAAATACTTCCAGAGTATGAAAAGTAGAAAAGAAGTCATGAACATGGACTCAGTCACTCTTTATTAACTTTATTAAGCTGAAATTTTGGTGGTAAGCCGGAGACAGGTGCCTAGGGTCCATCTAAAGTTATTTGAGGAAGATAGGTGTACTGGTTCTGGCTGGGATGGAGTTAACTTTCCCCATAGCAGCCCTCATAGCACTGTACTTTGTATTCATAGTTAGAACAGTGTTGATAACACACCAATGTTTTGGCTACTGCTGAGCAGTACTTGCACAACATCAGGGCTGTCTCTCTCCAACCCCCCTCCCCACCCCAAGGCTGGTGGGCTGGGGGTGGGCAAGAGATTAGGAGGGGACACAGCTGGGACAGTTGACCCCAACTGACCAAAGGGATATCCCTTACCATATGGCGTCATGCTCAGCAACAAAAGCTATGAGAAAGGAGGCAGGGAGATGGGGAGGGCAGGCTTCGTTATTAAGACATTTGTCTTCCGAAGCAACCGCTACATGTACTGGGGCCCTACATCCCAGGAAGTGTTTGGGCATCACCTGCTGATGGGACGCTTTGTTTTTCTTCTGTGTGCAACCTTTGCTTTTCTTCATTAAACTGCCTTTATCTCGACTCACAAGTTTTTAATCTTAAATTCTCCCCCTGTCCCTCTGAGGAGGGGGAGCGACAAAGCAGCTTGATGGGCACCTGGCAGCCAGCCAAGGTCAACCCACCACAATACATATCCCAAGAGAATGATTCCTACTTGTCTTGGAGGATGGTCTTGGGATGCAACGCCTAATTTTAACCAGATAGAATGAGTGGGAGGAATCCCTCCCTAATTACCTCTAGGTCTTTCCTCATTTTGGTGGTTACACATTGAATGAGTGATTACAGTACCCAATGGGTAACATTCTGGAAAGCACATACTGACAGAGGCGCTTTAGTTTAATTCCTTAAGATGCACAGGTGCCTAATTCCCATTGAAATCAACAGGAGCAACACACCGAACACATTTGAAGTCCTAGAACCAGTCAGTCTCCTGGACCTGCTGAAAATCAGTTGGATGCACAACCTTGGAAAAGTTTGCATTTCTCCAGTGAGTCTAAAACGGTGTTAAACAGAATGATTTATATTTGCACATAACTGAATTTTAAAATCTTCAATTGAAGACAGCAACAACAGAAAATGTAATCTCATTTTTTCTCCACTATTTCAGAAGGCTAAAGACGTGTTTCAGAGTTCTCTAAAAGGAAATGCAGGCCTTAAATCAGGCCCGAAAGAGTTACTGTACACAGGCTAGTTCTAATGAAGGCCTGCTGTTTGTCTGGGTTTCTGTGGTATTGGTCATCATTTAAGCTATGCATAATAAAAATTAACCTGTGACCTTGCTTAAATATTGGATTTTACACATAGAGCCACTTGTGTAGTTCACATCTTTATGATAACAGGATTGTAGGGAGGAAAGTCGTAACCACGATCAAGAAATCAAATGCGTTCTGTTTAAAACTTCAGTGACATCAATAATGTTCTAAAAGATAACTTGCAAGACTGACAGGCATGTCTATAAAAGCTGCTTGATTTCTACACCACTGACCACTCTGAGCTCTACTGGGTTTAGGGGAATTGTGAATGCTTAGGTTTCTTTTGGGTGGTACATGGTAAGAGGAATGTAAGCAAAGAAATATTTTGGCTAAACATCTGGGAAAAAAGGCTCTCACAGGGAGGTCCATCCATATGCAAAGTAACATTCTTTCCAGCTGCTATGATGGATGACCTTCACTTGACAAATTTTAAGGCGGCTGTCTGAAAGCTCAGAGACAATCCTGCTCTGGAAAAGAAGTTTACAAGACAAAATGAAAAGACTTTTTGGACTCTGCCTATTCCATGCTTCCCTAAAGAAAGCAACCTGTGATAGGACCTGTTGTATCTTTTCTTGTTGGGTGCAATATTGATCATCCTGAATTTCCTTTCAGCTGGAAAAGAATGACAGGAGCCTTGCGTTGTCTTTATCCTTCACTCAAAAACATGGAAAGGAGCCATCCCATGCTTCAATGTCGTAAGACCTCACAGAGAGAGCACAGCACAGGAGAGTCCCACCTACCATTTAATGCATTACTAAGAAATCTATTGTTTGAATGAGAAAATCTCTGTGGTGAGGCACATACAAAATAGCTTCTCCCATTTCTGGGAAGGAAGCTGTTTCTGTAGGACTGATAAAGGCTTCATTGTTAAGAGCAAAGGAAGACAGGAACTCTGACTTATTAGTCAATGTGAAATAGAGAAAGCCAAGTATCCAGTGACTAAAAGTGGGGGTGACTTTAACAGGGAAGAAAGCTCAAGCCCATGGGTATGTAAAGAACTTTGATTCTGCATGGCACAGGGAAGCAGGCCAAAGGCAAAGTAATTTCTTTAGAGCAAAGTTCTTCTCCGTCCTTCTTATATGAGAAATTTTATTTCTTCCAAACCGTAAGGTTCTGATCTTAGTGCAAACTTTGAGATTATTTATATCTCTTCTGTTCTCCGGGTTTGTGTTATATTTATTCTTAAATTGTCTCTGTCCTTTGATTTCAAGGCTGCTACCCAATTTTGATCTCACCTTGATGAAAGACTAGTTCCTGTCCCTCCTGCTGCAATCATGAATCACTCAAAGGAACATATTTTCATGAATTATGTACTGTTATGTGAAAAAGTACTAAGATGTTATGTGTAATAGCAAAAAACCCCATATTATTATGAAAATGTTATATTTTTCACTCAATTTCTATTGCACTCAATCCTGTATCATACAGTCATATATCACCTTCAGGGAAGTTGTGCCCAGGCTGCCCAGGGCAGTGGTGGAGTCGCCATCCCTGGAAGTATTTAGAAGACGTGTAGATGAGGCGCTTAGGGACATGGTTTAGTGGGCATGGTGGTGTTGGGTTGACGGTTGGACTCGATGATCTTAGGGGTCTTTTCCAACCTTAATGATTCTATGATTCTGTATCTAAGCAGCAGAGTGAGATTAAAATTAATGTAGCCTTTTAGTGATGTAGAGAAATAGAGGAATGTAGGAGGGGTAGGAAGCATTTAAGTCAACAAATGGAGTCCCTTGCTTGTATAGGCAACACATCTTACTATCTTACACTGTAACAGAATTTCAGTTTTTCTTCAGTAATCTCTCTTACTTTCCTGTTTTTCAATTCAAGTGCTTTCCCTTTTCTTTTTAACTTCCTTCTGCCCACTTTCCTAATAGAAATAGAAACCACTAGCATTTATAGTGGTAATACTTGTACTGAACACATCTATTACTATAAGAAGTAGCTCAGGAAACATCATTTTACAACCTCATTTAATGGGGAATGCTGGATGTCCTATCTCAGCTGCCTCCGTGCCTCATCCAGACAGATAAATCAGGACAATCTTGAACAGAATTTGTGGCAATGCAAGGAGACCTGAGGCAAACATGGTATCTTTCACCTGCTCTCAAAGATTACCACCAAAAAAAAAAAAAAATCAGGAAATATTTTGGCCACATTTGTAGATTAGGGAAAATGTGAATGAACTACGGTGTGTTATTAGCACAGAAAACTGTTGATCAACAAAAGTCAATAGCAACCACATGAGTAGATTTGTCTGACAAGGGTTTCCATGGCCAACAAAAACTTATCAGTAGCCACTGCATTTGTGCACTTTGGAAATATAAAATAAATGAAGTTCTGATTACCTCTAATTGATCAGACTGCTTGTTTTCATCATAGACAAACGGGTGAGGCAGCTGTCCAAGGGGTATGTCATAGAACTCAGAATCATAAATTATGGTATCAGTGATAGGTGCGCCTCCAACAGACTCGAAGATAAAAAATCCCAGAAAAATATTTACAAAGGTCTGCATTCTGCTTTCTTTTCTGAAAGAGAAGAAAATGGGCAAAATATGGGTAATCTGGTATTTGCAAGGAATCTATAAAAATTTAGTCTCACAAACACAGTGCTTATATGTATGCAACAATATTTCTGATGGATAACTCAAATTTATTCATGATGACTCAATGGTTTATTCTGTTTTGCTTCATGAAGAGTCCCTGGAACTGAGAATTTCCGCAGACTGCTTTGGTCATACTAACATTTAGATAATTTAGGAAGGACCTATTGGCTTTTATTGGTATAAAAGTAAACTGGTAAAAAATAAACTGGCCTCAATGAGAAAGTACCTGAAAAGGTGAAAGGAAGATAGATATATATTCATCTTTTTCCCCTTTCATCTAACTTCACCTATTTCCACTGCACCATTAGAAAAGAACTTTTGAGAAACTAACCAAAAGCTAGTTTTGTTATTATTTACTATGTAATTTGTAATAATCTTTTGAAATGTACAACAATGTAATTTTGTCTTTCTCCTCCATAAAAAAAAAAATTAGAAAACATTAAGACCGCTTTCTTTGTTGTCTCTGGATCGGCATAATCAAAACCTTTTTCACCCAGTAGTTGTTCCACCAGAATATAATTTTAATTCATTGAATGGTGTGGCATATTTGGACCATCACTTCTGCAAAGATCTGGGGAGCAAAATAAAAAGTAGTCTGTGTCCTCCATAACCCTGTAAGTGATAGTACTCTGCATTCCTTCATTATTCAATCAACATTGATTTTTAAAGTAGTGAGAAATGGTAGCATAGTGCAGTCACCTGTTCTCCTGGGAGAAAAGAATTGTAAAATCAAATTATCACCCATTTAAGTTCCATATTTTAGTAAAATAGTAGAAAATTCATGCTAGGCTTGCGTATTAGTTATGCATTAGTTTATGCATTCCTTATTCCTTGTAAGAGATGTATTCACTATTATCATATCGGATGCCTGACACAAGGCTCTATTCAGCATTCTTATACTTTGATTTAGCTACAGTTCCCACTAATTTCACCAAAATCACAGACAGTGATAATACTTATACTTTGATTTAGCTACAGTTCCCATTAATTTCACCAAAATCACAGACAGTGATAAAGAGCGGTGCATAAGTCTAATAAATTGTACTCCTGATGTGATGCCATAATACACACACTTAAATATTTCATTTTTAAACTATAGCTACTTAAAATAGATCAAGTATAAGAAATGCATGAGACTTCTTTCTGAATGTGTGTGCTGAGCAACAAGCTGAATTTTAGCTTCATGAAAAGAGGTCTTTATGAAGCTGGTTTAGGCATGAGGATATGAAATTCCTCTGGGGATAGTCAGCAACACAAGATGTTCATTTTTCCCTCATTTGCTTTATTCAAAAAGACTTTTCAGCTGCTGCTGAGAGAAGCTTGAGTCACTTGGGCTTGTCTTTGAGAAGACTTAGTTGAATTGCACCTTTCAGTATTAGCTTCCAATATTACTAAAGCTATTCTGCTTTTTTACAAAAAAATGAAATGAAATAAAATAAAAATGCAACCAATCTTTGAAATATACTGAAGTATATTGGAGCTTGTTTTTTTTTCCTGTATTTATATTTTCTGCTGCCTATTTTTGACAGGACTGGTTTTGGTCTTGCTTTTCTTTTGCATGTCATTTATCCCAAATGATTCAGCTATAAAGGATGTTATCTATTGACCCAAAAAGTAATACTAACATACCTGGTGTATTTTTTTCTCAGAATAAATAATTCTTAAATAAAAAAATTACTCATTATTCAAAATTGTTTTCATTTCACATTGCCTAGAAATAAAAGGTTTTTAAAGGGTATAGGGTTTGATAAGTATTTCATTTTGTATATATATATATAAAAAACCAGCAAATATAATTATAATGTGAAAAAAAAAAATATTTACCTATGACTGTAGTACCTGCACTAACTTGCAGAGTTTGCATGTCTCTGTACTTCCCTTATGTGTAATACACTGTAATGATATTGGCATCTGCAGTAGCTGTAAGATCAAATATTTTGATGAAGATTAGGTACTCCTTTCACAGGAAGGAACTAAGACATATCCAGAGAAAAATAAATAGTCTCCTCAATCTGCAGCCTTTGAATCAGTATTATGCATGATAAAATAAAACAAATACTATAAAAATATTTCCAACATTAAAAATCCAATTAACTGTTCTAAGAGAAAAGTACCAAAACTTACCTTTAGCTTCCAATCTCCCAAATGGGATGGAGTTACTCAGAATGCAGAGCCAGTGGAATTAGACCCCGACCAATGGCAGTGGCATTCTGGGGCTGTGGGAGGTGGTACAGCTTCTACCCTCAACTGGAGACCTCAGGCCAGGGACTTTCTTGGACTTCAAACACCTTTCTATTTGATTTCGCTGAATCGAATGTTAGCAAGGTCGAACAAAGGTTTATTGTGAGCAAATGGGATTTATTTCACGTCACAGCCTTTTACCCTTTCCCCTCAAATTTCTTACTGCTCCTACCAATATACCAATAACGCTCTCAGTTGCATTCTGGAAACAACCTTTTGGGTGTCCTGATAACCTAGAAATGTATATTTTCCAACATCCAAAATCAAGGCTTAAGCAAATTGGATTACATATGAATATTTTTTCTATATGTAAGATTTCTATTTTGGGGCTCATTGTATGAGATAATGTTTAATACACACATCTGCTGTGTGTATTATCTAGTATGTATTTAGAGGTACTTTTTTTCCTTTACTTTTCTGTAAGTACTTGTGAGGCAATACTCATAGGATGTACTCTTTCCAGTATGTTTTCCTTCTGAAGGGGAAATACCACTTCCTTAATAGATATGAACTGCTATAATATGGTGCAAATGGTAGGCATACACTGTAGTATCATGCAGTTTATTACACCAGAAATAGGTTTTACAATGTTACTAGAAGTCAAGCTATCTATTTTCCTTATTGATGGTATTTTCTTTATTATCACTTCCTACTTAATTCTGTGCTTACTTTTATATTACCGGTATTTTGTACAACATACAATCATTCCTCCAAACTTTTTCATCATTCCTCCAACTCTTCAATGAAATATACCTCCTAATACTGTCGATGTCCTATATTAACAGTTAGGAAAAGGCAGAACCCATTCCTTATCTATGGAGGAATAGATTTATGTAGAAGATTCCAATGTGCTAAGCAAACCTGATTCCCTTTGCTTTATATAATTTCCACATCAAAATTTTTCCAATAAGAAGACTGCCCTAGAAGGCCAAATTTGTATGAGGCACTGAAAGCATGTTAAGAATTTTAAGCGAGCTCTCGATAATTTAAATGTCCAACATCAAACTTCTAGTGCTAGCCTGGGGAATCCAAGACATTTGAAATGGTTTGGCAGATAGATGGGTCAAAGGGTAGAAAAGCAGCAGCTCTGATAGCAGATAGGTAGAGGGTAGGATATTGTAGGACATGACATATCGAATAGCATTAGGTGTCATGTGCTGTTTTGGCAATTAAGTCAAGTCTGTGGTGCCTTACAGTACTACAACTGCTTCTGGATGACAGACTTCTTTCTAAGGAAGATTCAGCATGATTTACTTCTATAAAAACGGGGGCCTTGAATCATTAAATCAGATATTTTTAGTTTCCTTATTCACAGTCCCTTCCCATTGTAAAAACAGTTTCTTCCATGAAGAATCAGGGCCATAAGTACAGTGTGAGCACCACACTACTGTGTCCTGTTGCTATTCTTTTTCTTCAGGTCAGTAGCTTTGGCCTCAGTTTACTCCTTAAGTTAGTGATCTAGTTGCTTTCAATGCCTATGTGTGCTCCTTGCTGGCAACAAACCAAATAGCTATATCTTCTGCAGCAAAATGCATCATTTCACCTACTTACTGCTACTGGTAGTTTTTATGCTGCTCCATGTGCTGAAGTAATTAACATTATTTCACTTGTAAGTATTTTATTTGCTGCTGTGCTTGGTCATTTAAACTCTACTCTTCTAAATCCTCACTCCCAATATGTCTTCTTCATTTACAAAACATATTCTCTCTGGGCAGGCCCAGTGTTCATTGATTTCACTTGTACAAAAGACCCCAATCTTGTATTCTTTATTGAAGGAAAATTCTTATCTACAACAAATTCTTCACATCTATATTCACTTTGTTTTCTTCATTCTTACACATCCAAGTTGATTTAGACATACTATGACCTAGGACCTGAAACTTTTGTATCTTTTGGTTTGTAAGTTTGCTTTTTTTTTGTTTCATTAATACCAATGAAGTTCAAACCAGTTTGGCTCTGGATCTTAACTTAATCTTGATTTTAGTGGCTTACTGTATTCCTGTCAGACTACAATATTCTTTGCTGGTCTTGTTTTCCAGAAACACTAAGCAAGTAAAATTAATTGAAGGCAAATGTTAACATACAAACATTGATATTGCTTCTATTTTTTGTTACAGCTATGGAAACTTATCTGAAAAAGGATATATTTTATAGAAAGCATTTTACAAGCTTATGAGAATGATGTTTCATATGGCACACAAATTTTGCCAATAACGGTCAAAAAAAGAAAACAGTTTTGTTTGTCTCAATTTATGCTTTAAAGTACCAGAACTTGGAGATTGAGTGGTATATCTGTAGAGGACACGCCTTAGTTGATGCTGGAATTAATGTTTGGCATTTTGTTCGAGCTTGGATGCTAGAAGTCCTGATGCTAGCAACTCTAGACTAGCTAGAAACCCAAGAGACCCAACATTTAAGCAGTTCAAGAATATTATGCATTAAATGCAAAAGGAAAAGAAAGACTACTTATAGCCCTTGTGGTGTTGCTGAGCAGAAAGACAAGCATTTAAAAAAGCTCACAGAAAATCTGTGCTTGAGCTAGGAACTGATTCAGATCACTGCCTTGTGCTTTCTGAATCCTGTTATCACAGAAGATAATGAAATTCCTGAGTCTGACTGAAGGACATTTGGGAGTGAGCTTTTCATGTCCTCTAATTAGTCCCTTCACTGACTTTTGGTTTTTTTCCAGATACTCTGGCCTTGTACAGTTTAAGTTACTGTCTTGCAAACTTTCCCAGTTGTCTCTAAACCTTGCTGTCTGACTTATTAACTTGGGCTTGATTAAAAGCTCACTAAAGTTGATGGAGAGTTCCATCACATTCAGTGGTTTTTGGAGCATGACTTCAGCTGGAAGCATATCCAGCTGTGGTCATTGCCTAACACATTCCTAGCTAAAATGCATTCACATTGTATAATTGCTGGCAGTGCTAAATGAATTAATTTATTCCCTTGTTTGTTGAGAGGGCTTTGTTTCCATTTCAGTTCTCCCAGTTCTTGGAGGTGCAATGACTCCTAACTGTGTTCTTGAACTCAGTGCCAAAGCCTCAGTGTTGTCCTATTCTTGTTTTTCCAAAACCTTGATTATAAAGCACTGAGCCTTTGATTCAGACTGTCAGCATCCACTTGATATAAATACAATTTTTTCTTTGCTTTGTTTTCTTTTGGGCCTCACAGATTCATCCCCGGGAACTTGTGATAAGAAAGAATGTGTGGGAAAAATATTAGCTTTGCCATAAAATGAAAAATCCTGTCTGACCCTCAGAAAGGGTTTGTGTATGGTACCGAGTTTCCCTCTCGGCACCTTCTCGGTCTGCCAGCCTGAACAGAAGTACAGGTCTTTAGTCTGCTGCGTCAGTTCTGGAAAATTCTAGTGCTGATTTTTAACAAGGAGGGCAAGATAATATCCAGCTTTGGAAGGAGTGACAGGGGAGTCCCTAAATGAGTCATTCATTTGTTTGTTTCTAGTTGGCATCTGGCTAAAAGATGATCCCAATCTGAAACTATAGAGTAAGAGCAATAAATGAAGATATTGATGTATTTTCATATAAAACAATAGTAACAAAATGGAAGATCACTTTCTTCCGGGCCAGGGACCAGTCTACATAAGGGAGGGGAAATACACGAGTGTTCCAGTACTGGTGACAGTAAGTTCAGCTACTTGGGCTACACAGTCTCTTAAAAAGGCGCACTGGGTTTTCTCCAACTCTTTTGCACATTCTGTGACCAGAAGTGCATCTGCCATATGAACAAAATGGGGTCACTTGCATTGTGTGATGGGGACAATTGGTTTTTGGTCATATGTGGGAGGTCCGTAAGTATTCATTTCTCAAGATATGTTATGTCTTATGACCAAAATGCAGGTAACATTAGCATGTTAATGTTAGCATTTGCTTGTTAACATTAATGTTAGTATGAGGAAGCGAACGTGGGACACTTACAAAAGAAGATGGCAAAAAACAGTCAGGTTGAATTGTTATAAAGCACTGGGTGTAAGCCAAAGACTATAGCATAGGCTCACCAAGCAGGAGCAAGAACCATCTATTCCGAATAAAGCTATTATGGGAATGTCAGCTCAGTGGGTAGAAAAAACATTGGTCTTAAACTTTAAATTTGATATTTTTGGCAGGTTCCTTATATATTTAAAGCTATGTAAGGATTATTTCTAGAAAAAGCAAGTTTGTGTTGTTTCCCTAGAAGCCCTGTATCATATGAAGTTTATTTTTCATATACCAGGAGAGAATTCATAGTTGAAGTGATAAAATGTCATACGTTGTGTCCCTTTGGTTACTGATTTATATGTACTATTTAATTTTTGAAATTTTTGCTCCTTTTTAAACGACTATGAACTGTTATCTGCTTAGGTCAGGTTTCAGGTTATTTGGTGGCACACATGTAACCTTTATTAATAAAATGTCCACAATGAATGCTGGTTTTCTTTGACTTTACTGTAGAGAAGAGACCGCAAAGTAGATGTAAGTCCTTCTACAGACATTCTAAACTATTTGGAAAGACACCTATTATTGTGAACTTGTAAAAATTTTATTTTAGAATTTAAAATATGATTTTTCAACCAATACCCTCTAACCTGCATATATATACCTCAGTCTAATCCAATTGGATAGTTTTTAGTTTTCTAAATAAAAGCAGTATTTAGCACTCCAAACTATGGCCACTGAATGTTCATGAAAAACTTTACTAAGGCGCATAGCAAAGAGCTTTCCCTTTTTGCATCTGGATCCATCTTTTTTGACATCCTACTTCCCTCAGGCCTTTAATGCTAGAATCCTCCAACATTTTCATGAATGTTATATACTGTACCAGAGAGACTGCTTCATGGCCAAACAAATGTTTTTCTCACCTTGTTCTTGGTGTGTGACGTTATTATTTACTGAATCATTATTTATTATTTCTTTTCCAATTTTAAATATGTGGTCAG